CTTTCAGTCTCATGCTCTGCCAGTGACGAGGGGCACAAGAAGCCAAGAGGGAGCAGAGACAGGACCCCTGACACAAACTAGCCAAAGGGGTACTCCATACCACAGCACGTCATGCCCAGTACAGGAACTGGGGGGAGCTGGCCAGAAGCCATGGATTGGGAATGGGCTGGGCAGCAGTCAGTGGGTGGTTAGCAATTATATTGTGCCTAATTTGTGTTTATTGGGTCTTATTCCTCTCTGTTTCCCTTATTATTACTACTGTTATTATCATTATTACTATCATCATCGTTGCTGTTGCTGCTGCTGGTGTTGTTATTATGACATTTAACTTTATTTAAATTATTAAACTGTTCTTATCTTGACCTACGGGTTTTACCTTTTCCAGACTCTTCTGCCCATCCCACCAGGGGTGGCAGGGGAGAGGGAATGAACAAGCATTTCCATGGTACTTAGTTGCCAGCTGGGGTTAAACCACAACATAACAAATGAAGGCAATTAACGGGATTACACGGCTCCTGGTCTCTCAATCCTGATCCCACTGTCCAAAACCTTTGCTCTATCAAAGGGATAGTGCTCTCTCCATGTTATTATTCTATACTGGTACTGCAAGAACAGCTATAAACTAGCTCATTACTGAATAATGTTTCTGTTTGGCAGTGTGAGAAAGGTTCATACAGAAAGTCACCAGCTGATGCTAAGCAGTGTTCCTAATTTTGATGGGGATGGTGCACTAAAGCAACATTTGAGACTCCTAGTAATAGACCTTGAGGTCCATAATGGGTTGTCGGGCATTTTTCTAAGCCAGGCGGTTCTTAACAGAGAAAGTCTTGTGGTTTTACTGCTTGCTTTGCTCACTGCATCAGACTAAGGCAGCCACAAGTACAGAGGTATAAATATTGTTAGTGGATTGCCACTAGCATATTGCTGATTTGGTGGATCTATATTACTGTAGTCAAATTTAATACTTTCCAGGAAAGTCAGCAGCTGATGGAAGCACTGTGTGTAATACACCACAGTGTGTATGCCCTTACTCCCTTCCTGTTATTCCTCAAAAAAATACATCTCCTTAAAATCCAAAGTGTAGTATACATTGATGAAAACTACGTTGTGTAATGATTGGAGACCAGGATCAGAAAGTCAAGACAGCTGGGTTTCCTTCTATAAGCTGTCCATAGTCTGACTCTGTGACAATTCACTCACTTCCCTGTGGATCTGTCTTCTCCACTAAAATGTCTTAGGCCAAAATCTAGCAAGAAGGCACCAAGTAAACTAAGGGTCCTTGTGAACAACAGATAGTGACCAAAATCCCACCTTACAAGTTCACATCGAAGTCCATCTGTCCCCCAGGAGGCTGGAAAGATGTAGGCAAGAACCTCAAAAAAAACCCAGATGGTCCACTAAGACAAGATGTTCACATCATCTTAAATCTGGTTTCAGCCTAGTTACTTTCAGCACCTTTTCATGAGATGGTTGCTCCAAACTGTCCCTGCTACCAGCTCAGTCAGTCTATGTGTCCTCTACATTTACAAGTCAGTTCCCAAAAGAAAGGATTCAACAGGAACAATTAAGGTAACTTGAAGAAGATCAATAGATTCAGGTTCCTCCCATCTTCACATAACACACACTGCAGAGGGGAAAGTAAGGTTCTGTTTATGCAGGTAGAATGTGGGTTAGCCCTCAGAAATGAAGAGTACTTTCTTCTCCACTGCGACTTAAACACACACACACTTTGCATGGAATAAAAGCAGCTCAAGAAACGAGGCTGAGGTTTTGAATATCAATAGAACTACCTATTCATGATAGCAATCATAATGCTTGCTACCTTAAGGTGACAGAATGAATAAGGCTAGACTGTATCTGAGTAATATAATTTATTAACATTAGCACTGTTCTACACGTGGGATTTTGCAGTAGCACTTATCTGGCTTATATTAAAAAAAGACTAGACTAAAATACTTGAATGAGTAGATCAGATTTTGCATTATGATATTACTTTGTTAAAGCCCCTCCTGCCTTCTGGGAGGCACTGCTAAAATGAATAAAATTTAAAGAAATAAAATAAAATGCATTAAAGAAAGCATACCAGTCATGAAGTCCATAATCCTTCATCACTGGAAACATCAAATCTCGCCCACTTTAAACAGACAAACTCTGTCTTGGACAAAAATGTTAGTCAATGAGGGAGACTGTTCTTCAAAAAAAAACCAGGAATATATTTGTAGAGATGTGAGGATTGTTCTTTGCCTACATGAGCTCCAGGGTTTAATAAAAAGAGAAAAGATTAGTTGCCTTGGGAACTACGCTGCCTCCTTTGCTCCTCACAGTACTGACTTTTCTCTTTTTCTTTTTTAATAACTTGTTGCCTCTTCTACATATACTTACAGGAACACAGCCACACACAAACAGACTCTGTACTATCATTTCCACACATTCTGTATGCACACTTCAATCATTTGTAGTGGAGAAAAGTTGATGCCTGGCAAGAATAAAATGGCACAGTGGAAAGGGTGGAAACTCACCTGCATGACTAAGCATGCAGTCTTGTTTCTTGTACATACAGAGAACTGGCAAACCCTTTAATGATCTGGTTTCACTTGGAAGCTGGAGACAGGCAGTGCTTGTGAGAAGATTTTTATACCACTGTAGTTGATAGTGTAAGGGCTTCTACTGCTGAGTTTGTGTAAAATATGCCAAATTAGTTTAAAATATCATTAGTTTAAAGCATGAAGTTTTAACATTAACATGTTTTACTTGGCTGTGAAATTACCTAGGGAGTAGTCACTTGTATGCAGAAGTAAGGAGGCTTAAGATACTGGTATCTTTGTTTTCACTTACCCTTTTCTCATTTGAGGTGCTAGCAACACTGTAACATGAATGGGTTTAGCATGCTTCAGCATGTCTAACATGGCCATAGACTGGAATAGAATAGATAGGAAGGAAAGAATAAACCTAGGAGAGAATCCAATATTTGATTTTATGACACACTGTGTGACATTAATGCAATTCCTACAACCTTAGACTCTAATAGTCCCTCTTCTCTTCCACTACAAGTCATGGCTGCTTGTTAAAAAAACAGAGGTAATGCAAGAGCAACGAAATTTTCAGCAAGACCTATTTCTGTATATTCTAAATATTGAAGAAATGGTTTGGTCTCGACAGCTTGGCTCCTGGCACTCTTCAGATAAGTCCAAAACCAGAGTCCTTTCTTCCTTGCCAGAATCAAGTTTCACACTTGTGGTGGATGGTTACCTCTCAAAGTATAGGTGTTTCACAAGAAGATGTAGTCTTTACGCAATTAAAGCACTCATGCAGATTCAGGAAAGCACAGACTGTATGTGCTTCAAGTGCACATTTTCCATACTTAGCAAGCAGAGCCTTCGGGGCTCCCACTGGAACATCTCTGTCTTCTCTGTGGGCTAAGAGGGAAGGAAACTTGTCCAGGGTGCAATCCAGCACAGACACCTTACTCAAGATATTCTAACCTTCTAGTGGAAGGTGTCCCTGCCCATGGTAGGGGTTGGAACTACATGATATCTAAGGTCCCTTCCAACCTAAATCATTCTGTGATTCTACGAAAGGGCAGTACCCCATGCTTACTAGCTCAAAGCATAGTTCAGGCATATCACTACACAGTAATAAGGACATCCATTTACTTTACTACCATGTCATGACTCATCATGTTCATGAGGCAGAAAATGAAAGATAGAGTAGTATTTGTAATTATCATACAACGTAGTTCAAATGAAACTCAGCACTGTATTGAATACATATATACGAAACTCATATATATACATGGTCTGTTCATGCAGTAACTAAAATTGAGGTATTTTTAAAAGTAAAACAAAATATTATATAAGGCAACACTCAGTGACACAGACTCCTGCACTTCCCTCCACTCTTCACATTCATGCTTAGGAACCAGAAGAGAGAAGACAGGAGAAAGAAAAATAAACATGCTTTTGACAGATAGGCAATACAAGTAGCAAAGGTTCAAGTCATTGTATCTTCCTGGCCTCACCACAGGTCACTTAAATCTTACACCTTAGCACCTGCTAATACAATTCTAGAATCCCAGAAAACTCTTGAGCATGGCTCTGGCAGCTTGCTTTAGGTGGGTTGGACCAGAAGACCTCAAGGAGACCCTTCCAATCTCAACCCTTCTGTGATTTGATCATATGTGACTTTTTAGCACAGTGCTGAATTGTCTATCGTGCTGTTACACGAAAGGCAAAGAACACTGACAAAACTTCTGAGTTCATGGTCCTCCCCACTGAGGTCAACAATAACACTGTCATTACTTCAACAGAGCAATCTAGAGCTCAATTCACCCAGAGCTAAATTCAATCTTACACCACAGAAATCTAGCAATTTTCCCAAAATAGTAAGAAACAATTCTAGTATTTCACAGAGTATCAGAGGAACAGAATTCTCTTTGGAAAAGACTGGCACAGGAGTGGCAAAACACCAACCCCATTTCATGGCATTATTAACGTTTTCACCTACCACTGCCATCACCAGAAATGCCAACAACGTCCCACTAGAGGCTGATATTGTAGCATCTCAGTTAAGAAGTATTAAAGGAAGATTTTTCAGACTACATTTTCTGAACCAGAAAATCCAGTCAGTTCAGATAGACATAATCAATTAGGCCAAGAAAAGCATCAAGCCCCATTAGTAAACATGTATTAAGGAAACACATGTACATACAGTTTGTGACAGGTATTGATGAAACTGTCAGTCTAACACCGATGGGATCTGGTGCGGTCTGTAAAGGAGGAAAATAAAACATAATGTTTAAGTGCTCTGTGAGGAACACATTTAATTTCTGGTAGTGCCTACTGATGAAACACAAAGTCCTGCAAAATCTATTTCGTGAATGCAACTTTTTAGCATGTATCAAAGTAACATTTTTAATTGGCCTAAACATATTCCTACCTTTTTATTATTTACATAATGGAGGCACACATATTAATCTCTCTAACCCATAAGACAATGGTACTGTCAGTGTGGTATTTAACTTCTGTTATAGAACATGGAAAGAAGAAAGGAACACATTATACTGTATTTCATGATATTATGCAAAATCAATGTTGTAAATCCATTTACAATCTCATAATCATTTACAGTCAAGAGCTACACAGCACTTCTGCTAGTTAGCTATTTGCTTTAGTGACAGATCTCTCTAGATGATCCAAGTCTCACTGATGCTGCACCGTAATGGAAATTTATTGCACACTCGGGATGATTTTATGTATTATAAGGGATAAAAAGCATTTCCACTCTCCAAGAAACACTGATTTAGTGTCAACTTCAAAACATTCACCTGAAAATGTATACAAATTTTAGAGAGAAATTATGAGGAGGTAGAAAAGACAGCAGACTTAAGAAGAACATTTGAGCACAGTATTTACTAACTGCCCTTTCCAGAGAGTTCTGTTTCTATTTTACTCTGCTCGTGTTACAACATTCTCAGTGTTCTCTGAGTACAAGAATAGAATGATGAAATTATACAGAATACTCAGTTCATTACAGTTGAGTGCACTACCCTAAGCTTATCAAATGAATACTGGTGGGTTTACTGCTTGTTCCTGAATAGACTTAATTTTAGTAAGTTTCTTATTAAAAATTCATGTTTAATGGAAACAAAAGAAAAGGCTATGTTAGCTTTATGTGTGTATTATCTAATGCTGGTCAGGTACTATTATGCTCTTTTCCTTGATCTAATGAACTAATGCAAGCAGCCAGTGTTTATGATCAGATGTTGGGGTTTGTATTTCTTCATTGAGTGGATGACAATAAGAAGACTGGAGAATGTAATTAAATTTTTATATATTTTGCTTTTAATATTCAAGGGAAGAGAGGAGGTGAAGGAACCAGAACAGAGACACTGAACTACTAAGCAGATAAAAAGCCATAAAAGGAAAGAAAGACAGCCAATTTTGATTTTACTTCTCACTTGAATTGGTTTAGCCAGCATGAAATTTGATGCATAAAACTGCTGATTCCTAATTTCATTGGATAAAAAATAAACCCTCTGAAAGTTTGCCCATATATATTGGATGTGGAAATTAAGCTGGCCCATTGCTTATGTTTGAAACAATGAGCAAAGCCTGTTCTTCCACACATTGCTGCTTCTTATGCATCCTCTTGTGCTGAGCTGTTAAAAAGGAGCTGTGACAGTTTATGCGACACACTATCCCTTTAATATCTCTTCTTCATGAAATCTGGCTATTTTCTGATGCAATTCCATAGGACAGGTTCTATCCCTTCTATCCCCACAAATATCAAGCATTCTTGTTACTGCCATCATTTTATTACAGTACAATTATTCACCTTATCAATGAAAAATCAACTCCTGGATATTAAAAAAAAAGGAAAAAAAATGCTATTTTCAGTTCAGCTTTAAAAGAATAGCTGCTTGCAACTAAAGAAACATTACTACAGTCATCCTTGTATTCATTGCAAACCAGATTTTCTAAGTCCCTTAGGCATCTGTACCATGGAAAACACAACATGCAAAAATGCACACACCAGTTCTTCCTTCTACACTGCCCTAAAAAATACATGTCCTCAGAGCTGGGAAGCAGTAGTCAAGGCAGTGACACCATCTGATCCTGTGAAGAACATAAGGGTCAAGTCATGCAAGGAGTATATCCTGAAATAAAACCAGGATTTTGTGACAGCTCAGGAAATGGGTATCAGCCTTCAAAGAAACGTCTTTCATTTAAAACAGAAGGGTCAAATTTGCAAGAAACAAACACTCTACTGTTTATGCACAACAATATAAGGTTAGCAACACCTGAATGCAACCTGGAATTTAGAACACAGAAGATGGTAGGTTTCTTATTATACAGGTGAAAAGGAGAGGTGTGATAATCTAAGAATCAGACATTATAGGAATCCCAAGAGGGGTGTAACGGATATAAGCATTCTCCCTCAGAAAAGCCAGGATTTTCATTAGGAATCCAGACTCATTCCCTCCTCTGTAGTTTTCTTCATCACTGTATTTGTTTTTTTTTCTTTACCATTTTCTTGCTTTATTTTTCTTTTGTTTTGTTTTGGTTTTTTTTGAGAAGCAGCAGACTGCATTCGCTATCTGCACTGTTTTCTTCTGATAAATGGATGCGGAAAGATGGTCATCACTGTTTGGTTATTTAAACTACAGCAACACCCTCTTTTTGCAATAAAACAATGTAAGCAACACACTGACTTTTATGTTCCACCCTCTAATGAGCTTTTGAGGCTAAAACTGTAAATAAATTATGGACTTCTTATCTCCAGAACAGACACTAATCAATTAATCATTGGGTTTTGGCCGTTGTAAGTGCTCCAAAGAAATTGTTTCTATGAGATATTTATCACTTGCCAATCAACACACCCCACAGGGTTAGAAATAATTGTTGTCTTATTTGTAGCAAACCAGATAATGCAGTTCAACTTCAGCAATAAAACCAAGTTAACATTCAGCAAGGCTTTTGTGCTGCTCATTTCCGAGTTGGAACTTCTTCAGGCTGGAGGTTTGCAATACACTAAGTTAATAAATAGGCAACAATAATTAAAAAGAGAATAATAAAAATAATTAAAAATATAATAATAAAGGTGTTTCAGGTCAAATTCAGCTCTGGAAGGACTATATTGAAGGGCATGGCATTCTGCTAGGAAGATTACTGACTTACTGCACTTGAATATTGGAAGTGTGGTGTTGATTTGAGACAGCGACATTCTGCTACATATTTCTGCTCCAACAGGAAACTCTTTTACAGTGGTGGTGAAATCTTTTTTCTCCAGGAAAGAAGTTTCCCTACTTCTCAACGCTGCAACTAATGGTTTAACCCACCTGAATCATTTACCGCTTTCTGTCTATTCAGAGAGCATTTTTACAGTTCCAAATTCAAATGGGAAAGAAATATTGACTCTTTCCAAAACAGCAATCACACCTAGTCATGGGTGGAGCAAATATCCACCCTGTAGCTAACGTGGGACTTCACACTGGAGCAAATGGATTATTTCCTGAAAGAAAACCTATAGTGGAGCAGGTTTATCCGGAAGGACTGGAGTCCATGCACAGGACCCACACTGGAGCATGGAAAAAGTGTGAAGATGAAGGATTAGCAGAAAGGAACTGTTACAGACTGACTCAAACTCCCATTAACCACCCCCTGTGGCATTTGGGAGATGGAGGCGGTAGAGCAGTCGGGAATGAAGGAGAGAGTTGAGCTTGGAAATGAGGGACACGGCGGATGGTATTTTCATTTTTTGTCTTTGTTCCTTTCCATCCAACTCTATTTTAGTTGTCAATAGATTAGTTTTGCCCCAAATCAAGCCTGTTTTGCCTATGATGGTAACTGTTAAGTGATGTCCCTGCATTTATCTTGGCTCATGCTCTCTTTTATCTTACTTCATCTCCCTGTCCTGGTGAGAGGGAGAATGAGAAAGCAGGCAGGTAGATGTCTGGTAGCCAGCCAAGGTCAGACCACTACGACAGTTTACACAGCCTTTGCTATAGATGGATTTCTCCGTTGAGTTAGGACCCCAGTTACCAAAGAGATACAGCCAGCACATCATAACTTACTCATAGGATGCCAAGTCTGCTTTCTTGCTGTACAGCAAGAGGGCTGCAAGGCTTCCCCACAACACCTTAAAGAAATGTTGTGGAAACAAATGCATTACAAAAACATTTGCATCCAGAGTGAAAGAAGGAAATTCTTAGATGGGCTATGTGCCTCACTGGGCTGAACAGCAGAGACTCCTTTTCTTGCATTTCTGCTTAGCGATAAATCCTGTTACAGTGAGTGCTACAGAACAGGTGGCATCATCTTTGATGAGACAGAACGTTAGACTTGAAGGTTAAACCAGGGATTCTTTTTCCAAGTCCCACATTAACAAAATTCCAACCCTATGTGCCTCAAAAACTAACAGTAACTTTACTTTCCAGGAAGCACGGGGTCAAACTTGAATGCTTTAGACCTCTGTACAACTACCCGTGAAGGAAAAAGAACGTCTTCCAATGACTTGTGTGATTTTTTTCTGTGACTAGAAGAGACAACAATCTATCTTGCCTCCTACTCAGTGTATGCCCTGTTTTGCCTGTGCTATCTTCTCCAAGCCATTTAGCATACCCTACATTTCCTACAGGAGGTTACTCAGTCTAGCAGCTACTTCAGTCTTTTTTTCTTCATTTCCTCTTTCATTTTGGCAGCACCATAAGAGCGCAATGTAGGCTGAAAGAGCTGAAAAAAGCACAGTAGCTGCTCCAAGAACTTCCAATCTGCAATTGAAATGACTTTTTATTTCTTCCCACATGCCTGTTAAACACTTCTAAAGCTATCTGTAGTTCTAGAAAAGCTGACCTTCCAAAAGCATATCAGAAGCAAAGAAAAAACCCAGACACTTCCTTCACACCCTTGCTTATCAGCTTTCCAGAAAATCAGGTTGCAAAGTCCCTACCAAGCCTAGAGTATAAACCAGTGCTGCTGCTCAAGGCAGAGTCAGTTAGAGAAGGTGGCTCTGGATCTTATCCAGGGTTTTGAGTGTCTCCAAGGATGGAATCTCCGGTCTCCCTGAGCAACCATTTCAGTGTTTGATCACTGCCACAGCAAAAAATGTGCTGCTTACACTTAAATGGAGTTCTCTTGTATCCATTGTCTCTTGCCCTTTCACTGGACACCACTGGTAAGAATCAAGCTTCATTTTTCCTTACTCCCTCCCGTCAGATATTTAAGACTTAAGCATATTGCTGAGATTCCCCTTTATTCTTCTCTTCTCCAAGCTAAATAGTCCCTGCTCTCTCAGCCCCGGTTCATGTATCAGATACTAACTCCTCCATCATCTTTGCGGCCCTTTGGTGGATCCACTCCAATATGTCCGTGCCTCATACAGGCAGGCTCACAACTGGACTTAGCATTCCAGATGCAATCCCACCAGTTTTATAGAGAAATGTCTCTATCCTCCCCTCAACAACCCTACCTCCATTCCCAGTTGCAGCTCATGGAAATGAATACACTTCTAGAGAAGTCAACGGAGTTACAGCATCTTAGAATAGCTGAAAAACTGTCTCAAAATGTCATGATTCTGTGATATATTCTCAAGCCATTCCCTTTCTAGTCACCTTGTGGTTATTCTGCTTACAGCTTCAGTGTATGCTAGAATATTTGAAGACACATTTCTTTCACTACGAGTTTCAAACGACCTTTTAATGAAGGGCTGAACTGATTTTAAAACCCAATTATGTTGTTAATTAAACTTCTATTTTCTCCTCTTTTCACCACCAGCTTCACATATTCATATTCCTGTTTTCTGGTACAGTCTCTGGAGTTTTTGCTT